CTCACCGCGTTGGTAGCTTACTTGCATCATTTTGGGGTCTATCATGTCAGTACAACAGCGTGGAATGACCTACCAGAAGGAAGCAGAGGTAGAAGGAAACCAGAGGAGAATAAAAGAAGCAACAAAGAGTAAAAAGTACACAGGCATCTAGTTCCTTCCAGAAGTCAGCAAGTTTACTATATAAATAATCAGGCAAAAAAAAAAAAAGTGTCAGACAATACCAGTGGGAGCTATCATAACAGATTTCAGCAGTCTGGAGAAGACAAAGCAGATAGACTGGGAAGGAATTCAGGACAGACACATGCAGAGTGGCTACCTGTCTTTGGACTACCTCCAACACATCTAGGTACACACTATGCAGACAGAAAGGTGACTTAAAAGGGACATGGCCTCATATAAAAATGACACCAAGGGATTTTAGCAGAGTTTACTGTTAAGTAAGATCAAGGACACAATCAGGAGGGTTAACAGCAATGAAGGGGAAAGCTTCTGTGTTGGTCACATGGAGAGCAAGACAATTTCGAAGGAAATGGTAGAGCAAAGAAGCAGTAAGCTGTGTGAGCAGGAAAAAGGGAGAAAAGTTTTGAACTGCTCTGCTGGAAAAAGGCAAATGCACAAGAATAATAAAGGGTGACCACACGGCTGTCAAAGAACATGATCAATGAGAAACAGCTATTCTGACAGGATAAGAAAGTGAACTCAAACTAAATCAGGCATGGAAATGGGAAGCAGCATCAAGAAACCTAAGGGTTCATCTCACAAAAAGGAAAGGACTAAAGAGGTAAAGGCTTACACTTGAGAATTAAGGAAGCAGCCGTGAAGAGAGCAGAGGACAGTATAGGTCAGAAGCTCAAAGGAAAGGAAGAGGAAGACAGTGAACACAAGATCAGGTAATACAGGGAAGGCTTAAGAAAAAAAAAAAAAGTTGTTCCTCATCTCTCATCATTCAGACTTTTGACAATATTGGGTAAGGAACCCAAACATGAGAGCAGAATGACAGAAAAATCATCAGCACTGAGCTATGAATAGCAGACAACTTTTGAGATCATTTAAAGCCAGGGCAAGAATATTGTGAAGCTGGCGACCACAGGATCACCTGAGGTTAAGGAGACGGAGGAGAACAGCAAAAACGAGGCTGCTGTCCACCACCACCTCCCAGGCAGGCTGAATTGCTTGCTACCAGGAGCATAGGCATCTTCTCCGCAAAGAAACTGTAAGATATTTAAACAGTGACCTCTAATGGACATATCACACAATACCGGTATTTCCACCGGCAACAGAAACATTCCAGGTATGATCAGGTAATGACACAAAAGCCAGAATCTCCAAATAGGTTCCCCAGATCATTACAACACCAACTAATCATCTCAGGCAAGTAAATCAAATAACTGTTACAGGAGTTACAAGTGATCAAAAACTGAAGCTTATCCCCCAAAATAAGTGAAAATAAAACACATCAAGTTGTCCACATTCTGATGACCAGCACTTGTACCTGCTGTCAATGCTGAAGTAACTTTTGACATCCCAGCCTGTCTTCCAGTCACACCTTCCCTTCTGTGCACTCCCAGGTAGAATTACAGCTAACCTGAATTTCCTACTGCTCTTCAAGCACACTTCCCATTCATGATTTTAATTATCAAATATGGATTTTAATTATCAAACATCATCAGCATACCCAGTAAGGATATTAGTAAGGACTACACTAGGACATGAAATTTCAACAAATCTGACGAACATTTGTCATGACTCCCATTTATTTTGATGTTAGACAATGGTTCCAAAAGACACCTAGGTTAGGACCAGACAATCTATGCAGGCCAGCAGCATAAGCATGACTGTTTCCTTCTCACCTGTATATTGCATAAAACACTTTAAGACACTAAATGATGGAACAAAAAGCTCCCAGAACAACATATGGGGACAACAGCCCAGGTAGCAACATTAAGAAAAAACCCAAATACACACTTCCTCCCTCTACTTTGAATGGATTGTCACAAGAGACCCCGTTGTGGAATCATCTCAGGTTTGTCATTTACACAGCAAGTGGCTCAAAAGACTGCAGGATTACAGCTATTTAGCTTCACCTAGAGTTTAGCTTCTGATTTTGCAGCAAAAATTCTCACTGAGCAGGTGAAGACAAACTAAGCTGTTTCAGAAGTTACGTAGAGCAGAAGCAGCCAGTTTAAGACTCCTCCAATTAGCAGAGCACCAGAGAGCTGAAAACAAATCCAGCCAGTTCTCCAGAAAAATCAATGCAGATGTAAGCATTTCTGATAAGGAATGATTTAAACTTGTAAATGCATAAGCACCAGCAGGATGAATAGCATACTAAAAGTGTTAGCAACAGCCATGCCACAAGAATATTCGAAGTATGATGGAGTTAATAGTGTGGTCCTTACACTCGCTTATGTAACTTATTTTTACTAGAGTTTTCTGGCAAAAAAAATCAACTATGTTTACATGAAAATACGCATATCTAGTGTTACATGTATTTATTCTTCCAGATAGGCATATTTACTCTAAACAGCAGGGGAAAAAAAGAAAGCAGAACACTCCTTTAAATGGCAGAAAACTAGCAGAAGATGCTAATATGACCTTAGTGTAGCATGTCAAGTGTCACTGCCACCAGCTTCCTAGCCATTTTAAGAACAATCTGCTAAGACAACTAATTACATAGCTTAAAAGATTAGGTCAACAGTGTCAAATATGAGAATATGAACTTGAAATTTAGCCTTTTAAAAATGTGTGTTGTCTATTGAAATGTCTACATCCATTTGTGAAAGAATAGTAAGACTCAGACTTGGTGAGTTACTTCTCAGGAGAAGCAGTGGTTTTACCTTCCCATAAAAGAAACCCAAACACTGCAATTAGAAGGGCTGACAGAATCCTGTGGCTAAGAGAACAGATACACTTGCAGCCTGCTGATCTAAGGACTACTTTAGAAGAAAGCAGGAATTGAAAGTTAAGATTTAATGTAACTCAACTTTACAGTAATGGCAATCCTTAAACTCGTATTCTGAAAACTAAAACTGCTTTAAACAAATGGTGTACTCTAGATTTTTCTTGAATAAAGACAACCTGAACACATTCTTCTTGGACACTTCTTACGATCATATCTTTATCCCTCCACAGTCAGGTCTACAGATAAGACTCATAGCTAGGACACAGGTTAGCTACTTAGCTTTTAATTCTGGTGCTCATGCAGAAGCATGTCACCCTCCCCAGGCTCAGTTCTCAGACAGCTAAATTCACCACAATTCAGGTCTTGCAGGAGCTTCAGCCTCTCTTCTCTTCCTCAAAGCAAGGTAGATGCCTGATATTTGCCCAGTCAGTTGTGTGTTCAGCTGAACTCTCCTTTTAGCTATGTATAAGACTTGTAACGTGTCATACAGAAGAGACAATTAAGTGCTTGTAAGTCTGTTAGTTTTCAAAAGTAGAAGAATTTTTACAAATCCGAGAGAAAAAACAGGTCACCAAGAGTCTTGTTTACAAATTGTTTCATCCTTGTGCCAACTAAGCAGCCATTCAGACAGAAGGTATCAGAGCAAATGATCAGCACCAAAGTTCTGCCTTGCAGCACCAGGTACCCATCTGTGGATGAGTTGTCTGATGACAGGCATTAAATGGAGGTGTGCAGAACAAGCTGCTATCTCAAGGTACCTGCAACCCTTCAGAAGCTGCACAGAAAGCTAAAGTGGCTGGATACAACTAACTGCCTAGCTATGAAGCAGCTCAAGTTCAGAGAAAGGTCTCTCCCTGCAGTGACCTGAGGGAACACAAAAGCCACCAGCTGGGTGGCCCCATAGCCTAACTCCACCAGGGGCTGATAACTGATGTCAGGCAGCAATATGCCCAAAGCAAGTTTAACATAATGCTTTCCCAAAACATTCTCCTAGCTTCAAGCTGTTTATAACTTCACTATCTTCTAAACTAAGGGTAGAGCTGTGTGTTTGATAGCAATGTTTACAGTTTTCCCTGCCTGGATTTGCTCAGTCATCATGCACACATTAGATGCCTGGAAACTGCTGGTCAAATTTATAAATAGATGGAGATTTATTTGAAAACTTCAACAAGGATAAAAACAGAATAGCAAGATGCCAGCCTATAGGACACTATATAATCAGAAACAGGGCCTAGAATAACTGATTCATACTTCTTACAGCCACTCACATAATAACCATAATTTTATTCACTTACTACTGCTACAACAAACCATTTAAGCTACACATTAGTAGCCAATAAACCGCATCCAGAGAAGTGTTTATGTGCTAGAATCTAAAAATATTCTTTTTTTCCCTCTCATGCTTAATCCTATGCAAATGCTCAGAACCTTAAGTGAGTTTTTCACATTTATACATATGTTTTAAATTACACATACTATCTTTACTGCTTGTGTGGCAAGCAGAGTTCAGTAGGTTGAGGTTTATTGGTTGGTTTGTTTGTTTGGGGGTTTGTTGAGATTTCTAAACTCATCTCAGTTTGTAAAGATTTGTGCTCTCATGACATGTTATTCATCAGCACCACACTTAAGGGCTTCTTTACTATGAGAAGCAGGATCTAAGGTAATAATTGAAGGTGGTGTACACAGCACAAGCAAGACAACTTACACAGAAGATTTTGTTTTGACAGAAGTAGACTGCTTGACTTTCACATCTGAAGCTTGCATTCAGCTGGTCTTGCTCACATGCTTAGTTATAGATCCAATGTAGTTGAGTTGTAGTTTATTTTCACCTGCCTCAGTCAAATTAACCACACATCTACTAAAATGTAAACTGGATTACAGATCTTCCAGTATGTGGCTGATCTGTACTGCAGTTGGAAAGACATGTTGAACATTGCTGCTAAGTCACAAGCTCAAACTCTTTGATTTTAATAAAGTGCTTCATCAATAAGCACTTTAACAGTGACATTGTGATGTATTAAAATAAATCAAACTAGCAATATCCCATTTTCGGTGTTGCTCAATTGACTGTAATGAAGTCCAAAACAAGTATACTTACTTGTAAGCTTGTTGTGACTCAGAACCAGCTGTGTGATGTGAGACAATGTAACTGCAAATGAAGAGAGAAAGAAGTTAGTTTATGGACAATGCAACTGAAAGTTTATATCTGTTTCAGCCAAAAAAAAAAAAGGGGGGGGGGGGGGGGGAAGTTATTATCTCCACTTCAGTTACTCCAGATTCACAAGCACTATCACAATAAGCAAGACAAGCTCAAGACTTACGGACTTGTCCAGCCACTCCTCTGCCCCTTTACTTCATGTTTAGGCCAGACTGGACAGAGCCTTGAACAACCTGGTCTAGTGGAAGGTGTCCCTGCCCATGGTGAGGGGCTGGAACTAGATGATCTTTAAGACCTTCAAGGTTCCTTCTAACCCAAAACATTCCGTGATGCTGTGACCTATCACAACTTGAGTAATAAGTACTGGTGTCTCTCAGGAGAGGTCCAATTCTGGGCCCACAAACACCTTTTTCATTCCCACCCTTTCAACACTTCCCAAGTTAAAACTGATAGGTACTCTTAACATTTATTCCAACAGAACACATGACACACCAGCAATTACATTTTCACACGTTCCAATTCATTATCAAGTCACTTCCAGATTTAAGTGCTAAGTATCAATAGCTGCATTTACAACCTCACACCCATGAAGCATGGTAGCAGACTAGTGTTGTTGTCTTGTGGTGAATGATGAAATGACAGCATGCAATATTTACTCAAAATTAACTGAATGATCTGATTGATCAAAGCCCCTCAGATTCCACCTTATTAAACAAATAAGTGTGAGGCATAAGACAACTAGAGACCAGTACTCCTCCTACATTTCTTCATCCTTTACATTTCTTCCTATTTCCGCCCTTCACACCAGCATTGTTTTCCCTAGGAGATGCATACCCCACAGCTGACAACAGTATCTGATCAGATAAACATGCTAAATAGTCAAGAGGAGAAACTCACACCTTGAAGGAATTCTCAGACATATCCCCCCTACTTGTAAAAAGTTTGCTGTATTTTATTGGTACTAGAAAAAAATGTAGAGGTTTTCCTCCACCATGCCTTTTCCTTACTTGCATTGTAGCCTCTCCAAAGCAGCTCTAGAACATACCTTTATGCTCCTCTTAGGCAGCTGGGAACATTTCCTGCCTGAAGGACAGCTGTAGTGCCATGTCTCTCATCCCTCAGAGCTTTCCTCAAGCAATAGACATCACTAACATTAGCCCAGAGACAGCCCACGCGCATCTTGCTACCTTAGGGAATGAAGATATCCTGGTGAGTATGTGTGAAAGCTGGCCATGCCAGCCAATACTTACTAAATTGTGATTTGGAGGAAACAGCTTGAAGAGCTTTTACTTACTGATACAGCATCATGTGTCGGCTAACCTTTGAAAGCTCAGAACTTAAAAGAGGCAAATATAACCTGTTGGCAGAATGAACACAGTCACCACAGTTGCCTGTGCAATCACAGGTTGTGAAGGAAGGAAAGGCAGGAAGGAGGAAGGAAAAGCAGGAAGGAGAAAGGAAGAAACAGTGCACCCACCCTACATTCTCCTAAAATATGAGCACTCCAAGTATTGCCTACACTGCCACCTCTCAAAGCACAACAGAAGGACAGAGAAAGAAGGCCAAAGAAAGTCTGTAAGAGTACTGTGGAAAAATCAGCATTAAAAGGCAGGCAAGAACAGCATTCTCCCCAAAGAGTTCTAAAACCATAAAGCTCTCTAAAACATAAAAGGCACATCAGCATCTGAACCATAAGCAATCATTTAACACTATTGATTACTTACACATAGAGCTAAACAGAGGAATGCAATTCCCACAAAAAAATTATAGAAGATGCTGCCTGGCAAGGGTCTGCACCAACCACCCTGAAGGTGCACGGACTGGAATGTCAAATTGGGCAGCCAGGCACAGAGCGAGTTCTAACAACTTTTGCACTGTTTCTTTTTTCCTTTGAAGCTGATGCTTCCTTTGGTTTATTACAGCAGAACAAAGACAAAGGCTGCTACTCCACTTCTGTGGTCTTTCAGTTTTGCACAGAGCTGCGACAGCTTCAGCACAGAATCCAAAATTCAGATAATCTGTTCTTTTGTTTGCTGGAGTCCATAATGAACTTCATTACTTTAAAGCCAGCAATCCCCATTATACGCCTTTTAATATATCAGCTAGACCAACTTGAGAAACTATACGAGGAAAGGCTCAAATTCAGGTCATACCTCCACCAATATGATGGCCATTTCTACACTCTTTTCTGCCACCTGTTCTATGATCAGGATCTGACTTCTATGAAGGCTTACTTGTTAAGACTAAGATTAGACATGTCCAAGGCTACCAAAATAAAGCTCTTTAAGACAGCAGTAAGGAGGTAATCCTGATTGTGCCCCACAAAGCAAAACACCCATTTAAAGCACACAAATCAGAATGACAACTCACACAGAAAATACTAAATGCTGATTTTAGTCTGTTTTTGTGCTCAGGATGTAATCCAGTATTTAAAATAAAAAATATGATAAATCATATTTATAGCTCCTGCAAGAAGCCAGCTTATCAGGAGACACCACTTGTTTGCAACATATTTGCACCACAGAAGTATAGTCTCTGAAATGCACTAAGTGTGAAACAGCAGCATACACGCAAGCACTTGCTCTGGATCACTTACAAATTGAACTAAAAAACCAAAAGAGTAAGAAATGTTTTATTAATAGAGAACTGAGGCAGACCTTGCTCTAATCCATGTGTACACAAATGATGAACCTTTCCTAACATGATTTCATCATTTCTATACACAAGAAGTGAGGATGCGTACTCAAGGACAATTAAGCTTTGCAGCTGCAGACTCGGGTCTTCTGAACATCAAACTCCTGCTGAATTTGAGTATCATCAAAAGTTCTGTGCATATTTAAAGGTAAGCCTGTGGACTAAACCATCAAGCCATGTGTACTGCTGGCCTTTAACAACACAAGCTTACAAGCATTATTCTCAATACTCCCTCTCCATATTTGTCACATTGTCTTCTTCAAACAGTCTATTCTCAATACAGTTTCCTCTCACGTCTATGCAGAATAGAATAAAGTCCCAACATGAAAAATTTCAAGGCCAAGATTCCTAGACCAAAGACATTTCAATCTGGACTCTACTACCCAAATGCGACCGAAGCTTGGACACCTTGTCTGAAACTATCTCAGTTAATCTCGATGTGTGACAAAGAGCCCCACTGCATCTTTGGCCTGCAAAGCAGGCTGACATCTTCCAAAGGAATAAAAAAGGCAACGTTCCACTGTTAGTTTGAAAAGAGCAAAGGTTTAGGCATCTGTGCTCTGGACTACTTCCAGTAGCACTTTAGTCATATCTAGATAAGAAGATCTTCACTATTGAAAGATGCAAAGCTACCACGAGTCTGAAGACAGATTTGCAAGCATTTAAGAAAAGAAGCCTGGTTATAAAGCAGCATTTGGTCACTCATACAAGGAGAGGAATTTGCTCCCTTAACATGAAACTGGCCTTGTGTGAAACAAGTCTGGAAATGCCATTTTTTTTCAGCACACTTGCACTCACCTAATCCTGTGAGGAGTACTGTGCAGTGGGAACAGCTGACTGTGGTTTTCCTTATCCTGTACACAAAGTCAACTTTTCATGACAACTATCAGCACTTCTGATAAAGACATTTGTCTTCAGCAACTAATTAACATCCCAGAGTATCATCTAGAAGCCGAAGGGGTCCTGGTGGAGCCATTTTGCTTGAGACATGTGCAGTGCAGGTAAGCCTAACTGGCAGGACTTGCTGAGCATCACTCCACAAGTGATGGAGTGAACTGTAATCCAGTATTCACCTCAAGTGCCAGCCCCTAGGATTCAAAGGGCACCACAATTCCTATGGGAGGATTACTGTAACCTGTCTATGTTGACACTTGGAGGAGCATCTAGATGTTAAACACCAGCTCTTTCAAGACTGCAGCCCTCAGATGCCTTGTTAACATTACAGTAATGAGTCCACAGGCAGCAAGTTATTTTGATTTCAAGAATGCACCAGGTACGCACACAGAAGTTTGAGGGTCAGGATACTAACATTTGCCAGAGCAATTGATACACATAGTAATAATAAGTTCTCATTATGGTCTCAGTCTCACTATTGCTTCGAAACACTGGGTCAAGGGAAGAATATTAAAGCTGTTCCCTTTTGGCCTTAGTATCAAGCCTTTTATATACTTATGTAAGTTTACTTCACATAAAATACTTAGATGACAAAACTACTTTTTTTTTTTTTTTAAAGGGGGAAAAAAACCAACCCCAAAACAGGAAGATCTTGTTGAACCAAGATAAGCCATTGTCTGTCCCATTGGAGGAAGTTAATGCAGGATGAGCATTATGGTATTGTAAAAAATGACTTACAAGTATTGTACCCCTCCATCTTCTGTGCTTTGGTTATTTTAGGAGCAGGCAATTACCTCAACACTAACTTTCTGATAAGTAATTCTAGGCATGTTAATTTCTACCACACACCATGTACTTTATGTAAAATATGAATAGCTTACAGATGGAATGATAACAAGAGCAAATTAACACTTAGAGTAAACAGCAATTCATCCAATATTCCTTCACTGACTGTAAGACTACAGAGCACCAGATGTCTCAAGTTATCTGGGCAAAATAATTCCTTAACTCATAGCTTTCCTATATCGATCACTTAAGGATACATAAATGAGAGATCAGAGACTGGTCCCTGCTTCAAAAACAATTCCCTCACTGTTGATGGCTGTTTAAAGTCCTACCCATAAATGCCCTAGCCGTCACCGTAAGGGAAAAGATGCATCATGCCCTAGTTGCTGAACCCAATTGTTCATCCTACAAGAGGTCTGTTAATGCTAACATTACCTGTCTGTGTTGGGTTCTTTGTAAACAAACATGATCTATTTATTTCACAATATGGAATTACACTTAAAGCAAAAAAATAAAACCCAAACCATTAGAACATGTCCACAGGGCAAGGCATTTTTAAAACTCTTCATGTATGGATGACAGTTATAGCATAGATGTGCTCATAAATGGTGCATTCGTCTTACTGCATGCCAGAATAAGGAAAAAAGCCTTTAAAGTTTAAAACTGTTTTGCATGGTCTGTACATTAATATGATGAACTAAAGCATGGAACACCTAGATCAAGGAATATTCATAGTCTCAAATTAAATCTTTTATCTACAGAATGTTTTAGAAGAGCTTTCTCATATTACATTTATGAAAGCCTTGAAAATTCTGATGCTCTGAAGGCCTATAGCACAGTTTTAGTTTGTCCTTTAAGACATTAGGAGAAAATGTAGAAGTGCCTGGATTCGAGGAATATTCCAAAGATGGAACTCAACTTCTAATGGCATTAATGAACTCCTGAGCAAGCAGCATTTCAGCGACTAGTGGGCTTTTCTTTGTATATCTGAGCACCACATTATAAACAAGCTGACAACTCCAGTCTGCCTTTATTAAACACAGAAGTTGGAAGAGATGTAGAGGCTGCCAAGCTTGTAAGTCTAAGTTAACTTAAGACAGTTTCAGATACCAAGTGCTCATCTCCATCCATTCCACCCTGATTTTGAAGAAGACACTGGTACTTGACAGAGGCAGGTTTAGTCTGTTTTTTTTCTCTCCCACACCTGCTACAGACGGTAGAAGTCAAGGCAAAAGAAAATACAAGTGGCTGCCCTGCTTTGTATCAAGTCATTCATTCACTAGACTGGAAATAAGCCAGAAAAAAAATCCTATCCAAGCCAGGGCATGTATTCCCCATTGTCTTTTCTCCTCTTCGCACCCATGTAACAGCAGTCTTCTCTGACCACTTATGGTTGTTTTCTGAGTTTGTTGTGTTTTTTTCTTTAAACACACATGACAAGAATAGGTCTGCACATAAAAGAAGAGGATGGGCACACTGAGCAAGATGCTACACATTGTGATGCTGCTAAATCCTTGTGTCTGCACTAACGTTATGCAAATTAAATTAATAAAGCTTACATAGGAGTCCACTAGCCACTCTGCAGCAAGTACTCACATACGCAGTGGAACAAGGTTTGGTCCTTTTCTTGAAGGATAATGAAGACTACAGGGAGTGGTCTACTTTCAAGAGTTACTGACTATTGTGGGAAGGACATTCACAACCATTAAATAATTACATAAGACAAAATCCATGTCAGGGGCTATTGAACATAGTAACTTAGGAGTATCCGCCAACTTATTAAGTCCTTAAACCTCAAATGGCCAAAACCAGTGAAAATGCCATCGAAATGTTCCCTCCAGTCATAACTTAAACTTATCCTTATCTCCAAACATCTACTAGTGGCCTTCATTAATAACAAGATGCTGTGAAAGAACAGCCATTGGGTATGACTCATGATGGCTGTTTTTAACAAAGATCTTTATTTCATTGAATAAACCCCCAAAGTTTCTGAAAAAGCAAGCTTTAACACTACACTGAATTGGAAAGATACCCAACACACCAGCTCACTCATTTAGCTTCCCTGCCAGTTCCGAGAGCCAGAGAAAGCCAAATCACCCCATCTATACTAGAAAAGATCATCCATTAGGAGTCAGATGACAGGGTTAGAAAGCCAGCAAGTTTAACATCTTCTCAAACCGTTCCCTAAAATTCACAGGTAATACCAAGTCATTACTTTTTTTTAAGGTGTATTTGGAGGAAGTAATTCCTTCTCCAGATGGGAAGTGGCAAATACTTTGACAATTTAAAAAAAAATATAAAATGACAAAACCAACATCAAACAAAAAAAAACCCAAAACCAAACGCCAAAACCCCAGCTTATAAACCTTTCTCTGCCAGAGCGCAGAGTAACTGAAAAAGCAAGATCACAACTGAACAAAAAGCAGTCATCACCGCCCCCTCCCCTAATTTCCATCTCAGATTGGAGAAGACCACACATCCCCATGCTATATCAAGTCACACAATGTGCACCAAGAGTACCTGCACACAGACTTCTCTGCTGCAGCCTAACTGGGGTATCTCAAGTCTACACCTCATGCAGGGAGCTCTCTGCAAAACAAGCTTCAGATGCTTCATCAGTCATCTGGCATCAGGGACAGGGCCTTGAGCAACCTGGTCTAGTGGGAGGTGTCCCCCATGGCAGGGGGTTGGAACTGGATGATCTTAAGGTCCTTTTGAACTCAAACTATTCTATGACTGCTCGTGGACCACACTGTGGTCCCTGACCCTCTCTGCACAACTCACCCAAAACAGTCTTTGCACAAGAACAGCTTTTCTTACTTCAGTGCCACTGGTGTGCTTTACTGCTACCTTTCTTCCCCCACCTGAAGGATTAAAGCTGGGTAATTAATTATGTGCTTTAGTGCTGACAACAGGCACCGAGCCTACTTAAAAGCAACACTGCTCTGGTGCTGCACCATAATGCACTCTGAATGCATTAGTTTATCTGAAAGGGCTAAGCATAGTTCTGAAAGCAGGTCTGTAAGACTACTCTGTCTCAAAGAACTGTTTATCCAATCAAAATACAGTGAAGCTTTCTGTTTAACGTGAGTTATATACATATATATATATAATCTTCCTGAAAGCCCACATGCAATTCTGAAGCGTTACAGAACCTAGTTCTGCACAACTGTACTTAAGTCTTAATCTTTTCCTGATGTGACTGATGCTTAGTAAAGAGCTAAACCAGGATATGGGTACAGTTTCAAGTTGGTTAGTTTGGATTCTGTTCTCACTGTATCACACACTTAGGAAAATTTCAGCCTGTGGCACACTAGCCAGTCACAGCTTTAATTCACTCTGTATCAGCTGTACCGTAACGTTATACACACTCCTAGCCAAAATAGAAACAAGAAGTTACTTGCCCTGCACTTCATATAAGTGTTCTCCAGAACCATGACAGCATGGTGCTACTGGCATGTTGCAACTGCTGTAGTTGATTTATAGTAAATGAAACACACCACGAAACACACTGTCACAAATCTGGAAGCACATGCAATCATGTAATACCCAGAGATGCTATTACTGTATCTATAATACAGTACTACCTTACTTTCCCCCAGAGACCAGCCACGTGTAGCTCCAGGCTGGTATCACCAATCCCTTTCAAAAACCAGTGGAGATGCTCCTTGGCAGTTTTTGCTTCAGTAGCAGGGAGGGGTAAGGACGGACAGGAAGCAAAGTCTCCCACCACTCAAGCGCCAGAATGAGAGCACTGAAAAACGGGGCACTCTGCAGGCTGCAGATGGTGCATGGGCAAAGGTGATAGAGAGACGGGTAGGGGTCCCAGCTCCCCACGCCGGTCTCTCCGGCGCAGCGGAGCAGTATTTGATCGTGACCACGCTGACGGCTCGTTACGGTGCTGTGGGGCGCTGGTAGCAGGGCGCTTCCCCCTGCGAACGAACCCCTCCCCGAGCCCCCGATGCCCAGACCTCCCATACACCACGGAACACCCAGAAGAGGCCTGGGCAGCCCCACCACCGCCGCGGGGCCACGGCAGCCGCCGGCAGCGGGAAGGCCCTACCACCACTCCCACCCCCTAACCCCCCCGCGCCCCGGATCGTCCCGGGACAAATAAGGAAGTTTCCGTGCTCTCCCCGCCCGCCGCCTCCGGTACCTACAGAGGCCGGGCACATCCAGCATGTTGGAGATGCCGCGGTCGCACATGTCCACCTCGGGCTGGTTCTTCTCCCTGCTCTCCTCCACGATCTTCTTCAGCGACTTGGACATGGTCTGGGCAAGGCATAAGCAGACACCGTGAGGCAGGAGGCGGCCAGGGCGCCCGCCGGGACACCGCGGGGACAGCTCCTGCCTGAGGGGACCGAGAGCAGCGAGCCCGCCCGCTCATTCGCTCCTCGCCGCCGCGGGGATCCCTTCCCGTCCCGCCCCGCCGCGCCCAGCCCAGCCCAGCCCAGCCCAGCCCAGCCCAGCCCAGCCCAGCCCAGCGGACCCCTGACCGGGACACCGGCCAGACTCCCGACCCTGGGCGGAGGGACGGGCCCACCGCTGCCGCCACAGGGACTCACCGCGCGGTGCTGCGCGGAGTCGCAGCCGGACACGGCAGGACGACAACCAGCAGCCCCCCGGGCGGTTCCCAGCAGCTGCACACACCCGCCCCGCCTCACCAAGCCTCATCCCACCGCCAGCCCCGCGCAGGCGTGCTGCGGCCCTGCCCCGGGAAGTGGAGACGCTCCCCACGCCTCCTCAGGGCGGCAGCCCGCCCAAGAGATTCCACCCACGGCTACGAAGGCGTCAGGCCAATCAGGGCGCCTTCCTCGGCGCAGGCCAGCTGGCAATTGGCTGGAGGAAGGTTCGCCGGCCAATAAGCCCGCCCATTAGGTGACTCGGCTTGGCTCTGTTCTGTGAATCTTGCCCTCCGGGGCCGCAGTCTTCGTCGTGTTCGGGTGTTCCGTGCTGCTGCTGTGCGAGCTGAGTGCCATTGCCAGGTCTGAGGGAGTCTTGCCCAGGAGGACAGCGCGGGCTTGTGTGAGGAGGTGCTGTGTACGGCACCTTAGGAGAGGGAACTGTGCTCTCTTCATGCTGCCGCTCTGGCGGCGGCAGTTCCTCACCATGCTCACTTGGGGCGCATGTGCGTCTGGAGGTTAGGTAACGGGTTAGCCCCATGCGTGAGCGTGATCACTCCTTCGCCGTTATTAGCTTCGAATGCTTACACAGCTGGCTTTTCAAAATGCAGCTTTAACACCCACTTCCATTTCTATAGCACGTGAAAAACGCTGTACAAGTGTTAACCCGAGAAGGTGGGTTGTGGGCAAAGCACCGTTTTGCACAGAGGAGAAATGTGCATTCGGGGGTCTCCCACAAAGCACCTGCAGCAGCAGCAGCTCCCCATGCCAAGGTGTGGAAAGCAGCAGGTCTGTGCGTAGGGTGGATGGGTAGCTCCATGCCCCAGCTAGTCAGCGACAGGAGAAGGGAGAAGCTGCCAAGCCATAGAGCTGGAAAGCTCAGACTCCCTAGGAATGACCAAGTAAGGTTTGAGGGCACTCTGAAGTTTGGCAAAAGCTGACTAAGGCAAAAGACATTATCCCCCCAAAATCTGAGTTCATCGAATCAATGTTTTCCATTTCTTCAGGTATGGATTTTCTAGTCAGCTGAGTGGCAAAACTATTCGCAAGGCTGGACCCAGGTTCAGTACTTTTAACTGACCTTGTCACCATGATGTTGGGAGTTACAGCCTTACTGCCCATGATGTATTAAGGCCTATGAGTTGTTTGATAGAAATTCCTATTTACTGTCATTTGACAACTATGGAAGTTCAGAGAAATTAATTGCAATCTATAAAATTGCCTAATACCATACTACACATTGAGAACCTCAGTCCTGACTTTTGCATATGCGCTCCCTAAGCATTGCATGGTGTTACTTACAAGCTTAAAGAGAATAACCATAGAAACCACAATGATGAATGTAAAGGTACCTAGACCAGGAAATGAGAAATACTGCTGGAGGTGCAGCTTTAGCTTTTCCTTTTTAAGGAATGCAGGGATGTAATTCTGAGTTGCAGAATTGAAGCACATTTATCGATAAGTGGTGTTTACTACCTTGAGACCTTCCCTCAAGTTACAGGCTGCCTTCAGGCCTTTCTTACAGAACACAGCTGGAAGAACTTCCTTTTATCTAGATTGCTCAGCAGAACACCTGGTCACTCCAATGTAGAAGACAGTGACATACAGTTCCTCTTTGCAGGAACATGAATTTGAACCCCTTTCCTGTCTAAGAAAGTGCCCTAATTGCCAGTAGTCAGTTGTCCTAGAGACCTAGGTGCTAATATGTGTACTGTTCTTGTCTCGCAAAGAATGAATGACTGCGGGCTTCATTTTAGTAGCAAAAGCTTAGGCTCTATTTTATAGATCTATTGTCTATAAAATATGGTCCTAACTTGCTTATTCCAACAAACAGGTAAAGCACATGTAGTTGTGACAAGATACTTATGCAACGGTGTCTTCGTGGCTAATGAGAAGCTCACCTGGCTTCTGAGTGCCCCATTTATGCAGTAATAGAAAACAATACCCTATTACATTGTACATGTCCACAGTCTGACCCTAAAATAGAAGTATTTAACTACTCCCCACTTAATAAACATGTTGCCATTACTGCCTTTAGTCAGGATTTGTTTGTTTGTGTTTTTGTTTGGTTTTGTTTGTTTGTTATCATGTACCTAATTTCATTATGTGTAAATATTTCACATATCACTTGCACATTCTGTGTGATCTAATTTGGTTCCTGCTTTATCAAACCTTTCATCTGAGTCAGCGCACTAATCAATACCTTAGTAAGATCTGCACTGGATTTGGCAGAGGAGTTGCTATCAAGCCTTCCTGTTAAAGCTTCTCATATCCTCATGAAGCACTAAATATCAATTATATGAGGAGAATGGATAAGAAGTACACATGCCATGCTGTCTTGAGTTTCACATTATTCCTTGATCTTGAAAACTTAACTTTCAGGTTGCTCCATCAGCAGTCATGTTCTTGAAGAGTAATTTCCTGCAGAGTGCCTGGGCCATGGCAGTAGCCCCATCTCCCCTTTCTTACCGTGTTCCAGCTCTTCCCAGTACATCCAGTTGTCTCACAACCCCTTTGACTCCAGATATCCTTAGCTCCTTCTATACCTCAGCTAGAGGCTGCTCAGCCTGTGCTTGGGGACTGCCCAGTGAAGCTCTCCCCTCGTGTACGGTGTTTCAGCTCATACATAGTACAGGCTTTTCCAATTTAGACCTCGCTGTACTTCCAGCTACTGATTTTTTTGCTTATGAAAAACTATAAAACACCTGTGATATCTGTCATATTTGTTCTAAGTTTGTCACTTTGTTTAAATGTCTGTAGAGCAAATGCCCAAATTCTTTGCCAGAGGATGGCATGTGCCTTCTGTCCTTGGGACAGCAGGCTGACATGGGTGGCTCTGAGGTGAATGTGTGGCCAGGATGGTGTGGCAGAGCTGTAGCTGCTTTGGGGTGGTAACAGGAGGGATAAGTTGCTCTCTGCATGGGTTCCCCTCAACCTGCTCCACCTGGGCAGTGAGAACTGGATGTGCCTTCCCTCACTGTGCTGGGGAACAGCAAGGGGATGAGCAGCTCTGATGCTGCCCTTGCTCTGGCTGTCCTAGGTGGCTCTTCTAACCAAGGAAATGAGGCTTTGCCGTTATTATTCTATTTATATCTCCTTTTTTCCTCTCCAAGAAAAGCTGTCATAACAGTTAATGTTAATGGGGCATTAGCGTACCATCACAACAATACAACAGCAATGTGCATCTGTAAAACCAGTTGTATACAGCATTACAGTTGTTATGTGTGATAACTGGCACGTAGTATTTGTTTTACTGACCTTGCCTTGTAAAAGCAAACTTCTAGAATTTAGCCTTTATTTTTATTATCAGCTAATAAACAAACATTTATTTGTTAGTAATCCTGCATTGTTCCTGCTGCTGTTATTATCAGTAGTCAATGCTGTCAGTTTTTGTTAGATTTCATTTTAATCAGGACTGCAGAAGAATTCTGTGGTTTTAGTTTGGCAGCTGACAAAAAATAGTACACTAAATATGTTAATTCTGGTGCCTAGGACACTTACACTGAGTTACTGTGGGAAACTAAGACGGCTCCTTCTTTGCTTTATGAGCTGAGGGAAAACTGTTTTTCAGTCAAAACTGCTTTGTAAATTCAACTAAAATTAACTAACGTTTTAATTTGACCAGCACTATGATTTCTAGTGTTTTAGCTGTATATCTTCTCTCTCCTTCACTTTAAGTAACTATAACCCCAATCGTCTTGTTGTGGTATTACTTCTCATTATTGTTTATAAAGAACAGCCCTGCCACTGGGAAGGGCAATTGAAAAAATACTGTTTCAGACCTTTTAGAGCTTATTCTTCAATCTTAGCCTTATTACTCATATATAACTGTCTCAAAAATACACCTCCGTATAAGAATAAATACGTATAGTAACATGTAGAAGACTATTTACATGTAAGTAAAAAACATGCAGGCTATAGGAAGTGAAAACATGCACATTCGTTATCTGTGCTTTGTCATTGGCAGGGGAAGGTTTTTTTGTATATATGCCAGTATTACAGTACAGACTTGCAGTATTCACAACTACTAAGACATTATTTATAAAATAGACAGCAGTGTGCACAGACATAAAGCAAAGATACAGCAATATTGTGAGATGAAGCCATAAATATTATTAAACACAGGCTTTGTGTTTTGAATTGTACACTGCAAAAAACATGTAGAAGTTTCATGGAATAATTATTCTTAAGTTATCTGTTGTTCCTGTTTGCTTCTGCTGTGCATTCATTTTAAAGTAAGTGTTTTAAATGACTTCTTACCTTGCAAGGCAGAAACATGGCTTAGTATCAGCTCTGTCCTCTGAGGACCTACTTCTGCAGTGGTATTTCTGGTGTGGTTCCTCATACAAAATGTTAGAGGACTGCAGTGGGTTACTTTGTTTCTGTTTTTTTAAAGAATGGGGTTGATAATTTACTCTAATTTTAGACTTTGACTATTTTTGGCAAGAGTCAGTTGGGCTAGATCAATTGAACCTTGTACCAGCAGCTTCATTCAACAGTCGGCATGTGCACAAATTCTCTGCTGTTTGTTCTAAATAACCTTATGCATTTTACTTACTCGTAAATAAAGTTATTGACACAGGTATGGAGTATTTGTAGCATCTAAAGATGCACCAAGCATTAGTTATTGTTAGATTTAAAAAAAAAAAGAAAAATCTTATGCATTTCTCTTCCATTCATAGTGCTCTTTTGTCTTCTGCAGAAGCAAGTATTTAACATACCAAAAAGTGTACAGAAACGTTTCAAGTGAAACATGCTTTTTCTGTTGGTGAAACAAATCTTTCTGAAGTACAAATTTAATTGGGTTAACTGTGGCTCCCCTCTAGAGATCAAGGCCAAAGGTCATGTTACCAGATGGCCTCACACACATCACAGGTCACTGGATCACCCTACACACTATTCTCTAAGTCAACAGTGGGCCAGCTGCAGTGTGGCGAGCATGGGCATAGGGTTGTCCTGGGGAGACTCACCTTTGTGTCCATCAACTGTGACACGTGGCTGATACCAGTCTCAAAAGGCCATTAATGAACTTCAGTCATTAAAACACTGTATAGGTTTCCTTTTTTGTCAGTTTATGCTCTGTCATACTCCTGATCAGGCCAAGGTTTAACCTGAGAACCTGTTGTCTGTCAGGGCAAACTCCACTTTTAACAGGGGAGATGAACATACTGTGGAGCACCACCTGCAGTGGCAGGGAGCTGTTTGGGCATACATGCCCTTCTCTTTCACCTGTGCTTTCCAGCTGAGCTATGCTCCAGGCTGGTGAAATGCAGAAAAGGACAGCGTTCTTGCCCGTGTGATTCTGGCCTAAAATCACATGCTTCCGTAACCAGCACCTAGCAGCAAAAGACAGCAGCCACATCTTGAGAGGATTTCCTGCCCTGCGCCAAATCCACGGTTATTCAGAGGAAAGTCAAAACCAAAACAGACATTCACAAAGCCCTGTGATGCAGCCATCCACAAGGAAGAAACAAAGTCCTACTGATGTCTGCAGGAAAACAGCTGAAGCCATGCTTGATTGCACTTGCAGTGCCTCACATCTTCATCTGCTATCTTCAGAGCTTAGTTTGTAGCTTTATCTCCAGGCAGTTCAGATGTTTGTTTTCATTACTGCTTGCTGTCCCCTTTATGGGGTTTTTAATAAACTTTATGGACAAAGACTGCATCATGCCTTGGTTGCAAATATGAACTCGGTTTGGTGTGGTTTCTCATCAAAAGGTTTCTGGGCTACTAATCTGAAAATGTTTGACTATATGTTCCGCTGGAAGTTCTTCAGCGAAGTTATGTGTGTAAGTGCTTATAGGACAGGGCCATCTTTTAGCAATTTCTAATTCTATTCTAATTTTAATAAAACTTGCTAACATTTCCAAAGACACTTGGGACAAAGCCACATAATTCTGTAGAAATAATCAAAAGACAACTTCATATTTTACGTCCTCTTATCAACTTCATGTTGAATATTTTGTGTTTAAATTTTATCCTGGCTAATTCAGTTTTCATAGCATTAAATGTAAAACTTTGAAATTGTGTGGAAAAACATAAAGAAAAATGTGTTTCAAGAAGTAGCAAAGCCTCGTTTTCCCAGTTGGGTAGATCAGAGTTTAATTTCAGTACAATGGGAGATGACATTTTTCTGACAGAACTCTAAATTCATGACAGCTACACTAAGAGTAGTTTTGAAAAGGCCTTACTTCAGCTGCAGTTATCATAACTGGATTTCAAACTTACTTTATCATCTAAAGTCTCTTCAGTATATCAAGGAATGGTAATACATTTCTCATAAACAGTGTTCTAGCTTGTCCAGCTTAACTGGAATCCTGATGGTAAAGTCACATATTCAGCATGAAATTTTACGCTGACTTGATGAGATGTAGCGGTAAATGGAGCAATGTTTGTATCCTAAAAGTAAAGACAAGAAAAATGAAAAGCTTTATTGAACATCAAGATCCTTTGGAAAAGCTAGTCAGAGAGTTAAAACTGAGGCACAAATTGGATCATAGCTTGAAAGTAACCTCAAGTCTCTCAAATCTGTGCTAGATACTGCTGTTCATTTCTCTCTCAGGGTACCACAAATATTTAAATCACAAATACAACTAAATACAGACCAAAATAGCTTGATGCATGCCACTAGATGTCACTATAAGGTCTGCAATAGAAGGCTTCTTATGCCTTAGGCCTTCACTTACATTAATCTATGGGGAATTCATGGCAGTATTGGTGAAACAGTCTTGAATCCAAAAGAGTAGAGATTCATTTTAACCACTTACAGGGTCACAGACAGTAGGCAATACATACCATCCCACAGTATGGTCCAGCTGAGGGATAGCTGGCATCTGGCCCATTGTAAAGGATCAGATAGTTGCTACTGCAATCCCCTGGGTCGTCGATGCTGATGAAATCAAAGTTCACTGTGACAATTCGTCCCTTGGGCGCAGTAATGGACCACTCACAATTAGTGTTGTTGTGGTAAGTTGCCGGATAGCTGGGACTAGCAAATGAGCCAGTTCTGCCATATAATGTTCCTCCACATCCTGGAAACAGACACTGATAATTAGTCTGTAAGGCTTAGTTTCACAAGGTACTGCATCTTGTAGTACATTAGTACAGTATTAGTAGTAGCACTGAAAAAGAGACACTGGAAGCTGGAACAACCAATGTGGATCACAGCATTATTCCAGTAAGAGTCTAAACTGAGGCTCTGGCTTCAGGAGCCTGAGAAGAATATGCAATGAGCATTAGACTGTCACTGGATATTAAAAACTAAAACTCCCAAAACTGTTTGAAACAGGAACCAAAGTCTAAAGTCTGTGCCTTGGCCAGTTCATTTGCCAGATACTTCACTAGAAACAAATTGTCTGGCTGTTCTTTAGAATGAAAAAGTAATGAATCTTCATCTGGTTTGCTTGGTTTGCTTTGAACCTACAACCTCCTGGCTTTATCTGATGGCCTCTGGCTCTTCTGTGGGAAATGTCAGTGAATAGCTGATCACTATTTATTATCCAGTATCACTCAATTTTGTAGACCTCAGTACTTTCATAACCAGATTGAAACTCTCAGCATACCTCATGCAGAAGCCATTTTGAATGCTGAGCCCTTAGTTATAATAGTCCTATACTATTCACTGCCATTTCTTAAGCCATTTTATAGTTAGGTTGTTTTCTTGGGGCATATTTCAGTCCCCTTCAGGCTTAGTACTATTAATGGAGTAGGCTGAGTCGCCACCACCATTGCTCTGTGGATCCCAATACAAATGTTTCTGATATTAGCTGAGCTCTCAGTGAAAGAAGCAGGTCTTCATCTTAAGTGGACAACCTCCTCTGGGGTTGCTAATAGTCAACATATAGAGGGAATTGTTTCCATCACATAAAATGGATCTCACCCTACTGGTCCTGGGGAACATCTACCTTTCTTCAGTGACTGAATAGGTTGGGCTATGGGTGCTTGGGAAGGCCTTAAGTGTTGACAAGGAAGGGTCCAATTCTACATTAATATATTTTCCCTCTATGTGGAATTACTCTGTAATTACAGTCTTACCACTTGATGATGAAGTCCAAGTAATTTCATATCCATCATGAGTCCCTGAAAAATCACTCTTGAAACGAAGGTAGACAACATGATTTTGGGGGAAGATGGGACTGGGCACAGTGTTTCCACAAAACCTGCCAAGTAGTGGTGACTGCACATCACTCCCATTTCTGACCTTCAATGAACACAAAAGACATTGCCAACATTAAATCCCTGTGCCAGTTATACACCAGTACAATTATGCAGTGACATAGGCACGGCACAAACTATGTAGTGACTTGCATGCATACTATAATTAGTGTTTTAATACTGTTATTTTTCCTACTATATATTCTTGAGGAGAAGGAAAAAAGACCATTAACCAGCCTTTTAGTACGTAATTGCATAGAAAAATATCACCATAAACAGGCAGCTAAATTTTATGGTGTAGTACATCCTGACTGAAAAAAATTACTTGACTAGTAGCTAAGATGTGCTTTTGCAATTCAAGCTCATGTTTTATTTTTCATAAGAAATGTTAATATTCCAGATGAAAAGATGTGCAGGCCACTCACGTTAAGACACAGATCATATTACATAGCTCAGATTTAATCTGATTTTTTCCTGAGCTCCAATAATGCTGTTGCTCAGATCTATTCCGTGAGACAGTAAAGAGGATATGAAAGGAGAACTAAATAATGATTCTGCCACAGACATCTGATTTTTGTCATCTGACCAGTGAATAGGGAAACCTTCAACAAGAACCTTCAACAAGCATGAAAGGACAGTCACTTCTTATTAGAGCTCCTTTTTTTTTTTTTTTTAAGAAAAACATGCTTTTTTTTTTGAAAAAAACCCAAGAAAAATATCAAGCAGATGGTATCTACTGCTGGAATGAAGGCACTGAGATTTATGGCATTCTGTTCATGCACAGATGTTACTATCAGATGAAAAATATCCTGGCTTGCTCTGTTAACTGTGTAACACCAACAAGAGCTAAGTAAAGATGAGTTAGCTGATAATGAAATTATTTACTTATTGGTTTTGGACTTAGTTTAACCTTTTAGTGTAACATCTGAGTAATCTGATCAGTTAGTCTGTTACCCATAAAACAGTAGCAATAAATTAGTCCCTAATGTCAGTTCATCTCAAGCTTGATCCAAGTTTATTAATATCCTTTGAAGTCAGCAGATTTTGACCCAGGCCCACAAAATATGTATACTTGCTTGATACCTCTAGGAAATCATGTGAACACTGGGTGCTGTCTTCCAAACTGAAAGCATGGAAAAAGAGAGAAATTGTGTAATTCAGGGGAGCTCGTAGGATGATGGAACAGTCCATATTATTGGGGTGATGACCAGGCCAGCCAGGGCTCTTCAGGTAACCAAATGGTTGATTATATTCTCTGCTGCAACCTTGAGACAGAAAACCAGAAACATGTAAACATTTCAGATCTCTTTATTGCTTTTCACTCTAGGAAATAAACAAAAAGAATGGTAGCTAGATTTTTTAGACGTTTCTTCAAGCTTACCTGTAGCTTGATAGGTAAATCTGACTCCATTATTAGTCATATATTCATCTGATTTGAAAGTCACAATGGCAGTGCGATCATAAGAATAAAATTCAGGGACTGGAAAAGTTTCAGTGCCACAGAATCGATGGACTGATCCTTGGCTGTGCTGGAATTCAATACATGTCACAAGTTACTTAATGATAGAATTTGGTTTTCTATGTCCTGAACTTGAGGTAAAAACATCTTTTAATACTTTCTATACCAGTTATGGAATCACATTTTAAAGTTCTCATGGAAATCACTTAATAATGTCTCAATATTTTGTGTTCAGTTATGATGAGAAACAGATCAAATGTAACAGGCATTTTCATGCCAAAATATGAAACAATGAAAGAAGGTTTAGAATAATATAATGCAAGGGACATAAACAGGTGGGGGGTTTTCTGGTGCTTTTAACAATCATCCTTCTAGGCATGAATATTCATTTTTATTATGGTTCTTGGATGAGAGAAAGTACAATTAATTTATGAAAACTTGCTGTTGGGCAGTATTTTCTGGGTCTTAAGTCTGGCAGCCCTGTTACTTGGTACAACTGTGAAAAATTGGCTTTAACACTTACCAGGTCTAACTGAATATGTATATAGTGTGCTTCCCTGAGGTCTGTGTAACAGTTAACACACCTTAAGTGGGGTGGAGTGCATAATGCTTTGGATGTGCCCCCACAGAGAATCATCAGTTAGTCTGTTACCAGATGGTTGGTTTCTCCTCTCTTTACAAAGAGTGAAGGGAGCTGAATATGAATGGGAAATGGTATTTCCTGTATATTTCTTACTGTTGGGGAATCCTGGAGCTCTAGGTAGTTCTGAGAGCAGTCCTGGCTGGAATGGAGGTTGAAGGCCTCTACCACCACTCTGACTTGCTGTTGTGGAGGCGCATCGATGACCCAGGTACAGAGAGTAAATGGTGGATATTCATTTGGGAAGTTAGGAGATGTTGCAGTCAGGGATGTAGAAGTTGCATTATATATTCCTCCACACAGTCCTGTGTAAAACAGTGATAAATGCATCATAAAGTGAAAACCTTTCCCACTGGGAAAGAATATTTATTGAGTAAAACCATACTGGACAATATACTTTTGTATTTATAATAAAATAAATGTTTGTATGTTTGTTCCCTATCATTGTCTTAACAATCTGTGACTGTTCCTGGTTTGCACTTGAGAGTGACAGCCGCCCTGCAATCAGCCAAGACCAAGGCAAATTGCACAAGGGTGTGCCAGTGCTTATAAATGCTGTGATAAAGACTGTCTTTGCTCCTTCCTGAGCCCTATATCTAGAATAGATATTTTATTTATTATTTAAATACCTATTTCCATAAAAGAGTCACAACAATATATATGCATGCACACATATATA